GATAGAGAGTCTAGAGGCGCTTAATATATTACTATATTCTACTCTTATATATAGTATACTTTACGCTTTAGGTCTTATATAGTAGTAATCGCTTTATCTATAGCGGAAGGTCTCTTATCGTTAGTAGTAAGACTTTCGCGATCTATTAGTAGCACTATTATCTACTCTAATAAGTATATAAAGTCTCTCGGTAATATTAGAGCTATATATAAATATACTATAACCGGTAGCTCGTTTAGATAGCCGACAAATTATAGAGGTCGCTACGATAGTTTTCGTATAATTATACGAGAAGTAAAGAAGCGCGTAAGAGTACTAGACGCGTTATATAAATATAGAAGTAAGTAGTATAGAGGTATAGTACTAAATACGAACGAAGTATATATAAAAGGAAGGTTAGGTACTTATTAGTTAAGCTATATAATACTCTTCCCGAATTAACTTAAAGTTATAGACGAAGCTTTAGCTTATAGTACGGGAGTTTTAACTTTAATATTACTAAGCTCTAGAATATATATTAACTAATATGCCGGATAGGACGAATATAGTAACGCGTATAGACGATACTACTTAGAGCGTGCTCTAATCCGCGCCCTCTAAGAACTAGTAGTTATATAAGTATCTCGATATAATTAAGAGACACCCTATATTTTAAAGCCTCTTTCCGCTCGTTCTACGTATAAGCCGATAATAAAAACACTACCGAGGAAGACGGGACGATCTCCGCACTATAAGCTACTCTCGTAGTTAGCCCCTACGAGCGCGTTAGGCGAAGCGGCATAGATTAGCTAAACAACATTTACTCTGGATTCAACCTACCTATTTGTAATATTCTCTGCCTTATATAGATGCGCCTTCACGACCGCTTCGTTATGTGCTACTGCGCAACCCACCGCCTCCGGATCTTCCACATCCGCAGCTCTAGCATCGGCTTCGACCACAGCCTTAGCTACCGCTGTACTAATTCAGAAAGCGTCTGGATGGCGTTCGTCCAGAGCCACCAACTTGCAGTACTACCTTGTGTGACCATACTGCGCCGCGTTGGGAGTGGGTCTGGCTCATGCGTGTGTTCTCTAGACTTAACAAGATGAGTTGCGGGTCGCTTGATCTGCCTCAGTATGGTCGCTGCGTCCAGTTGCTGGCAGCCGCATAAACCATGCACGCGTTCGGTAGCGTGCAGGCGTGACTCGCGTTCAGTGCAGAAGTCGGGATGATACCGGTTGAGCCATGGACAACACGGGTGAGATCAGGAAGAGCGATCTGGGTGCTGGGTGTATGAAACGGAGTTGGAAGCGTATTCGAGAGACAACGAGCTCAAGATTTCATCCCTGCCGAACTCTCAGGCCATGCATGCTGTACATGCAGCGGAAGAGTGCAGCAAAGGCAGTGATGTTTGCTTCCGTTTGTAGCCACTTCATCCTGCATTCGCAATCGTTCAACATCGCATGCCAACCACTCTGGATCCAAGCCAAGCAAGTAAGGATGACCAAAGACGACTAACATCCGCTACTAACAACGGATGAGATCGACATCGCTCGACAACTGAACTGGCCGCTCATTATTTGCTATTCCTGTCGGCAGTTGAGCCGCCTAAGAGTATGTTCTAACTGCGACTGAAGCGAGATTTTTCATTAACTTCGACTTTTGCAGTGCTCGTGCTCGAGGAACGGTCCAGATACGACATGCGTTGACTGCCTCTCATCCGGAAGTCTCTGCAACAAGCCTCACAAACCATACGGAGAATGGATCGTTCAAAGCGGCAATTTGTAAAAACTCACTCTCGAGCCGATTGGAATGGAGTATCAGAAGTCGCCGCTGTAGCACATTCGGGCGGGTCAGTATCAGGAACAGCCATTGCCATCGAACTGGACATCTCCAAGTGGACCCTACATGATGCCGCGAGAGCGGCGCAGACTAAAGGGTAATGTCGAGCAGAGATCTTTGGAACAAAAAACTTCGCAGGCTGGTCTCCTGAACGATCCTTCGGAGATCAACAATCCAGTCTCTAGTCCATCGTCGCCGTTCGATGGGACTGGCAACGTTGTTGAATACCTGCTAAGCGAGAACATACGACTGCCGCACGCACTTTGACGTATTATCAATCGGCAGCCCAATGGGAATGGTCGAAAGGCCACATCGATGGCCCATTGTTGCATTCAAACGCATCGATCGATCACGCCGGGAAACCCTGGTACTCAGATGGATCGAATGGACAAGGCCACGATACGGGCCGTGGTGGCGTGGTGTCGTGGGGGGAGACACCAGATATGAGAGGCCATGGGCTAGAACACAATCTTCTGCAGATTGACGGAGACATTCGGCTGTCTGAAGTCACCAAGACGTGCCAGCCGGTCACAAATTCACAGTCAGGCGGATCTCCAGCTTTGCTATTTGAGGGAAGAGAGGAGGTCAGAAACTCGCAATTCGCCGGTTCTCCATCTCTGGAGGACCGAATGCCGACCTTCGACGATCCTCTGCGCTGCACTACAGATGATGACATCGAGGTAATGTCGCTGGACCTTGAAATTACGGTTCAGGAAGATGCCAGCAGGTGTCTTCCACTTTCGATCCAAGATGGAGTTTGCGTGGCGTAATGGTGATGTCTGGATCTAGGATAGCGATAGCTGTGGCCTGTGCTCCCTCGAGGTGACATAGGCATTCGGAAAGCATCAAATTTTGGCGATCTCCTGGTACCCGAGGCGTAATGGTAGCTAATGTTGACTTCGAGAGGCTACGATAGGTTAGTCCTGACAGCTTGATCTGATTTACTTTGATCTCCGCCCTAGTTTGATGGCCTCGCCATTCATACTACCTCTATGATCACGAAACTATGCCACTTTTCTTTAGCCCAGTTTGATGGCATTTGCCATTCATACTGCTGACACAGGATACTCGTGCCTCTCCTGCATCTCTTCAAAGCAACTGTGTAACAGCTTCGTTACATGCTATTGTGATGGCGCCCGGTGCGAACCGCTCAAGCACGCGATGAATCTCCTCTCGTCCCTCATGACGAAGAACTTTTTGATGGAAAGGTATGATCTTATCGCCCTGGCGGCGATGCCGGTCTCCCTGGAACTCGAGGGTCTCCAGCCTGCTGTGCAGACCACTTGGGGTCCAGCGCACCTGATCCCAAGAGTACACCGTTACTGTGTTGTCTTGGTTGTCGATGACAGTGCAACACTCATACGCGCACAACATGGTGCAGTGAGATGTTCCAGAGGGAACGATACTCATTCGATCCGGTGTTTCGGCGTTTGTCTCACTTGAAGTGAAGTATTGGTGGAGAACAAGACTTTCTCCTTCGCCATGGTTGACTGTAACGTCAACCCATCGAGCCAATGCTGCAGTCGCGGGCGTCTTTGATGAGGGGCCGAAGCTGTCCAGAATGTTCTGGCAGTACGTGCGAAAGATCGGTTCCGCAATAGCGACTTCGAGCTTTATGATGAATTCGACGACGCGCAAGGCCGCGAGCTGCTGTGCTTCTCGGTCGCCCTCATCGTACGTGCGATCATAAAGGAGGACCCAGAGCGTGTTGATCAGGTAGAGTTGCCAGTCGCTGGCCAATTGAGCCTTAGTTTGGGTTGTCTGCTGGAACGATATGATCTCCAGGACCTGGAGAATCGGAACGCCATTCGATGCACCGCAAGCGGCAATGTACAGTCGCTCCATGATGTTGGACTGGAAATCGATGACACTCTGGTTTCGCGTGGTCAAGACCCAATCCAGAGCGCTCTTGTTTCGGACCTTGAAGAGGCCTTGGGTACCTGGAGGATGTGGGCGCAGTGTCAGGATTCGCTTCTGTAGAAAAACTGGTTAGCCACGCGTCGTATTTTCAGGAACTCGCATACGGCGCTGCGCCGGGTTACGGTTGCCAAACTTACCGCAGATCCCACGAGGTTAGGATTTGGCCCGACATTGTACGCAGAGAACAATCGTCGCATGACTTTAACCACGGTGTCGTCGGCTTCGAGTCTTACGTCCTGGCCGTAGCGTTTGGCAGTGGCCCGTATTTCTATGTCTTGCTTCTTGTGCGACTCTCTCTCCGTATCCAGCAGGGATTGTAGCCTCCTGGCTTGATTCTCAAGCCCAGGAATAGTGACAGATTCCAGCAAGAGAATCTTGTCTTCCAGCTCTTCGATTTTCTTCTTGTCATCCGTATTCTCACGGGTTTGCGAGTATTCCTCTCGACAACGCTCGATTTCAGCCTGATGCTCATCAAAAGGGATTGAGCCACTGACGGTTGTCTCCAGCTCCGTCACATGAGCCTCCAATTTGCCGATTGATTTGGCTTGCTCAGCCACTTCTACATTCAGCTCCGCTTCGCGTGCCATCAGGTTGTGAATCTGATCGAGATGCTGCTGGACAGCATCCTCGTGGTCTTTCACTCGGCCGGCCAGCCTCTTCTGCTCTTGAAGCTCATCATTCAAGCGACGGACGCGGGCGTGAACTTTTGCCAGCGTCCATGAATTGCCGTTGCTATCATCCATGGTCTTTCGAAGTTCTGATAGCGAATATTCCTCATTTGGTTCAAGCATGGACACACCGGAGGCAGCCGCCGCACCAAAGGCGGTGCTGATGTTGGCGAAATTATGGAGTTGTGCCTGACGCCATACCTTGACGTACTTGTTGAGGAAGCCGAGTAGCTGAACGCACGTCCGCTCCATGTCTCTCAGCCTCTCGCCTTGCCCCTTCTCAAGCTCGTCGATCTTGTCTTCGAGGTTGCGTATGAAGTCGCGAGGCAACCGAACGCTGTTCAAGGTCTTGAGCAGATCAGACGCGGCGTGGTTCTTCGACTTGGTTGCCTCCAGATCGTTGAGCTGATCCTGGAACGAAGGGAGAGGCGCATTCGCGTACGCTGCAGCGCGTAGTCTGCTCATGAGTCAGCTGCTGATTAGATATTCTTTCGCAGTCAAAGCGCCAACACCTACCGCCATGTTGTAGCCTCGAGCTGCTTCTGTTCAACCCGATGCACCTCGAGGTAGCCGCGCTGAAAGAGGTCGTCACCGAGCGCCGGTGCCGCCGCCATATTTGTCGCCCGCGGTGTTGGTGTGTTGCTTGGGTTCGATCGACTTCGAGTGCGTTGGAAAGCACAACGCGGCAGGTAGTGCTAGACTAGCGTCTTGGCTAAGTCACGTGATAACGCAGGTCATTCACTTGTCGCTTCTCGCGTCATTACGAAGCTTCGCGCTGAGACCGGAACGATAATGAGGCGTCAAGATCTTTAGGGGCTTGCATTACATTACATTGCATTGCAGCGCTGAAAGAGCTAACAAAACGCTATTCACATTCTAAGCTAAAAGGGGCTCCATGCTCGCACAGTCCCTCTGAGTGACGGCGACGCTGAGTAGCTCGGCCCACCACTCACCCACACCTTCTGCACTAATCATGAACGCGTTCCGTCTCCAGTGCCTCATCTCGCTCGGTGTCCTCAGACAGCACCAGAGTTTCCATATCAGCGAGGCTGTGAAGATCATTGGCGAACTCTTGCATAAACTCATCTTCTGAACTGAGCAGAGCTAGTCTGTCGGTTCGAATGAGGACTTGTTGTTCATGAAGATCGATGGCCGATTTGATAGCATTGATGGAGTCCTCCAGTAGCCCACTAGTGGCAGCAAGGTCGATCTTGCATTGGTTCACTCTGTTCAAAAGCTCGTGGCCCTCAACCATGTGGCGATCTGGTTGCATTGCTTGATCGATTCGGTCATGTATGGCCTGGAGACGAGTGAAGATGGATGTGCGGTAAGCGTCGGTATCGATTGCTGTGCGCACATCGTGCCACTGCCTAGCTGTCATACTCCATGAATAAGCATCAGACACTCCAGCTTGGTCGAAATTGAATCCTCCGTGGTTAATGTACGCCTCGCCGAGCTGCGACCCCAGCGACTCGCCGATGCCAGCCTGGACCTCGTTCCAAACGTCGAACAGTATGAATTGATGAAGGCGGAAGCCTCTGCCGCGGAATAAATGCCTTAGCACCAACTGTGCGTACCGGAAAATGTCTGGCGAGCTCTCATCCAGATTGTTGTGATTGTGAAGTCGGTTGTATCCGCGATATCCCCATCCAATCTCTGGATTGGGAATCAGATGATCGCTGTTTGCAGCACGCGCATCTGCGACCATTTTTCGGTTTTCTGCCACGAGCTTTTGCACATTCTTCCTTAGCGTGGGCATATCTACGCCTGCCCAAAAGGTCTTGGTGCCTTTGGGTCTAGCCTGCTGATATGCCCAGTTGGCACCGTCGTACACATTCTGTCCTCCCATCATGGTTGTCCTAGTGTTGGCCGGATCTGGCACCAAGCCAACACCGACCTACAGGCAACTTATTAGCTTGGATTCTCGATAGCCGTACAAAGTGCTATGCCAAATCGCCATCGAATTGTCGAATCTTCCACTTACCTCCATGGCCGTGAGGAACCAGTCGTAGCCGTCGCACGTCAACCCAAGGCCGTGGCGGTCTGCTATGAAGTTGGCGTAAATCATTGGCTGAAGTGGGCCATTCTGGTCGTATTTCCGAATCTTTGGAGCCAGTATTTTCCCCTGCAGGACCTAGAGACGAAGCCGCACAATCAGTGTGTTATTCAGTGGTGTTTGGAACCATGTACGTACTTGCTGCGGCAGTGTCCGATCCAAGAATCCTTTGATAAAAGCCTGGTCTCGCTGAGCAAGCAAGAGCATGCTCTGTGTCCTCCAGATCTTCTTGTTCTTCTTCAGGCGCGAGCTCTGCGGCTTGGGTGACTTTGTGGCCTCCATGCCCTCGACCAGATTTAGCAGCGATGCGGTATCATCTCCGTCCCACTTCGCAATAAGCTCGCTCGTGAAACTCGAGAGATAGAACGATCGGACCTGCTGATTCTGTGCAAGACCGCCGAAGACGTTGTTTTGCGCAACAGCGCCCAGCACATTGAAGAAGCTGGAGATGCGATTCGCGGCAGCCATGGCGATGTGTTCCTCGCGCGATGGACGAGGTGGAGGTGGATCGAGCGACGAAGGAGTCCGAAGGCTTGGTAGACAGAGAAGATTCGTGCTGCAAGGGTGAACGCCGGCGATGCTCTAGGCTTTCACTCTCGGTCACGTGTGAAAGACTTAGGGCGATTCACCCCTGCGGCTTTCATATAAGAATGGTCGTTTGTTGTTCCCGGTTTGTACAGCAATCAGGCTTTGTTCAGAGCTAGTTTCCGTTCGAGTTAAGTGCTTCTCATCGCAAGGCCGACTTTGCTGTCAGTCAGCCCGACTCTCCTCCCGCAACTCGAGCGCGATTGGATACTACAACCCGTGTCAAGATGGACGTTCATCAAGACGAGCCTATGACTCAAGAGGAGCTGATCCAGCGACTCAACGAGCAACGCGATTCGTTGGCTGCGCGTCTCAACACCCATGGGGCACAGATCGATCCTGACATTGGCCTCCTGCTACGTCGCACGGCAGACATTTACAATCAGCAGAAGAGTCAGTGGGCCTCATATGAGAGCAGAATTCAAGAGCTCGAGAGCAAGAGCGAGGAGAATGAGCGCCGTCGAGCAGCAGCGGAGGACGCAGAGTCTAGGCTGAAACAGTAATTCTGGTTCCCACCCGCTTCGTCGACTTCTGAGCTGATTCGGTCTTAGCACGCAGGAAGTCATGGGTGTGATACTTGGCGCAACCAACGAGAACGAACTCCGAGAGAAGATGCAGCGGCTGGATCTGGTTGGTGAGTAGTCCGACGCCCTGGCTCCCTAACGATCGAATGTCCCAGAACTAACTCTGACAGAGTCCATCTCACAGAACGTGGATGGTCTTCGTGGCGAGGTCCAGCAGCTGCGTGAAGAAGTTTCCAGCGCCATATCACTATCGAGAAAGCGTCAGAAGCTAGCGGAATCGTCTTCTCGTTCGGAACTCACAGCTTCACAACGTCGAGTCAGCTCAGATGACATGGGCGATATCAACATGGATGACTTCCACGAAGGCCTGCCTGACATTGCAGGGCGCCCGGCGGCTCAAGCTTCCACAGCACAGAGTACTTTCACTGGCAATTGGCCCTTCGCTTCCTCCACCGGTCACGGTGTCACTGGCCTTGGAGGTGGTGTAGGTTTCACCGGCCCGTCCGCTCATTTGAGTGCGACTGATACCTTTACCACCGCAAGCGCCACCGCTCAGCCCACCGTCTCCGGAGTTTCAACCTCCGCAGGCTCAGCCGCGCCTTTCTCCAGCACGGCTGCCCTCTCAAGCGCTACCGTACAACCCACCGCCTCTGGATCTGCCACCTCCGCAGGCGCAGCTCCGACTGCAACCGCAGCCTCAGCCGCGGTTGCACCAATTCAGAAAGAGCCTGGATGGCGTCAGTCCAAAGCTACCAACCTGAAGCACTCTCTTGCAGATGTGATCTCGAACCTCGATGTTCTTGATCCTCTCACTGGCAACATCGTTTCCGCGAACAATCTCGGAATCAACTTCGCCCCCGATGACTTGGCAGATTTCCGCACGAAAGCAGGTAAGATTGTCTTTAGAAGATCGTCTCGGACATGGCTAACTCGGTTTCAGGTTTGGAAAGCCTCCTCACGCCTACGACCCAGTCCCGGTGCCTGGTCCGTAGGCTCCGTAGGTCACAACCGACTGAGATGAACAGCGATGCCACAGAGGCGTGTGATCACTGCATTTATTACGGAGCAGTCTGTGTGAAAGGTTTCACCGATGATGACGGGTCTCAGCGACGCATCATCATGCCTCTTCCTCAGGTTCGACGTATTGGCACTGTGAGCAGTGATCGTGGGATGTATGTGACGGCGCCGCAAGGACCACTCGCCTAGATTCCGCAGCACGACACCGCCGACGTAGCTGAAGATGGAGGGATGAACGGACGGGGCTTAGGTCGGTAGCAGGTGATGGATCTTCGTGGAAGGATGTCATTGAACAGGGGCAAAGGCAGGCATTCGGTCTATGCACCCAGAGATTCGTAGCAGCGAGAAATTCAACGCAGAGGCGTGAAATTCATCAACCTTCTTCCATTTTCACCGTCAATGTCGGCATTTCGGTCTCAGCTTAGCCAAAGCGAGCAATCCTCACTCTCGCGTCTGGACGCCGCATCGCTTCCATTATGGAAAGCTGCTCGCTGCTCTTTTAGCTGGAGAAGGTGGTCGGGGCGATGGACCAGTTGTTCAAGAAGCTTCGAATCGGTTCGCCCGCGCCTCCATACTCAACATCCCCTCGAAGCTCCCTTGCGTGGAGATCACGGCTTGGGGGCAGCTCTATTGCACCCGAGCCTTCGAGTCATGCCACATTCACCAAGTGTCTGGGAGCGTTTGTCCGCCATATCGATGTTGTCAACGCTGCCAGACGTCCAGACCGCTGCAAAGTGACAGAGTCGGGCTGTCGGAAAGAATGCTCGGTTATCTCTTCTCTCCGTAACTCTGGCGTCTTGAACGCTGCCAGAAGTTCAAACAGGCTGCGAAGTGATGCAGTCGGGCTCTGGGAGATGTCGCTTGGTAATCTCTTCTCTCCGTGACTTTGGCGTCTTTGGGGTCGTATCTCTGCAGAATTGATGTTGCCAACGCTGCCAGACGTCCAGACCGGCTCGAAGTGACGGAGTTGGGCTGTCGGAGAGAATGCTCGGTCATCTTCTCTCTCCGCGAATCTGGCGTCTTCGACACGGCCAGATGTGCGGACTGCTTGCAAAATGATGCAGTCCGGCTTGCGGAGAGAGTGTTCGGTCGTCTCTTGTCTCCGTAACTCTGGCGTCTTCAACGCTGCCAGACGTTCAGACGGGCTGCGACGTGATGCAGTCGGGTCCGCGGAGAGAATCCTCGGTCATCCTTCTCTCTGTAATTCTAGCTTCTTCAATGCTGTCAGACGTTCAAACGTGCTGCGAAGTGATGCAGTCGGCCTCTCAGAGATAGTCGTTCGTCATCTCTTCTCTCCGTGCCTCTGGCGTCTTCAACGCTGCCAGATCTCTGGATAGGATGCAACGTGAAACATCCAAGTTCCGGAGATCTCATCAGTATTCCTACTTTTCCGCGAATTTAATGCTTGACGGGCTACCAAAAGTACAATCTGGTTGCCGGGCGGTACAGCCGGATCTTTGGAATACTCGTCGTTGGACTTGCCTACGCCGCAAACGGCTGGAGTGAAAAACGCCATGCAACACATGCTTCTACATAGACAGATACAGACACGCACCACAGGAAAAGCTATACAAGAGCGCCTTCCCCGGCCGTCAAACCGAACCAGTAGGAAACGAGGTATATCCGATGCTCCACGTCCATCTCACCCCCTACAAGAGATCCCTCTGGATGAACTGATCCCTCAATGTCTTGCCCAAGCTCGCCGGGCTCTTCTCCACAGTCACACCAGCGCCCTCCAACGCAGAAATCTTGCTATCCGCACCACCCTTGCCTCCAGAAACAATCGCACCAGCATGTCCCATACGTCTCCCCGGAGGAGCAGAGATACCAGCAATGAACGACACAACTGGCTTGCCTCGACCATCCTTACCGCCAGTGTTGTACTCCTTCAAGAATTCTGCCGCATCCTCCTCCGCGCTACCACCAATCTCGCCAATCATGATGATTCCATCGGTATCCTCATCGGCGAGGAAGACGCGCAGGCAGTCGATGAAGTTGGTGCCGGAGAATGGGTCACCACCGATACCGATGACGAGCGATTGTCCGAGGCCAGCTTGCGTGGTTTGGTTGACGGCTTCGTAGGTGAGGGTTCCAGAACGAGAGACGATACCGATACGGCCACGCTTGTGGATGAAGCCGGGCATGATGCCCATTTTGCATTGGCCCTGCTTTCCGTTAGCACATGCGAGACTGCCGAAGAGATGCAGTGCGAGAGGAGGGGCAGATATATCAGATCCGTATAACATAATCAATCCCGCACAAAGGCAGGTCAGACTCTTCCTATCATATGTTTTGTATGTAAAATGGCTCATCAGGGAAGTGGAAAAAACGAGACGCTGTACGGGCTCGACTCACCGGAGCAATGATACCAGGACAGTTGGGGCCGACCAGCCTCGTCTTGTCCTGAGTCTTCAACATATCTGTAATTCGGACCATGTCGTGCTGTGGGATACCCTCGGTGATACACACGGCGAGAGGAATCTCCGCCTTGAGTGCCTCCTCGATACCAGCAGCAGCAAGCGGAGGTGGAACGAAGATGACACTGGCGTCAGCGCCCGTCTGTTTCCGTGCATCTTCTACTGTCGCGAACACAGGGCGGTCGAGATGTGTGCTGCCAGCCTTCTTTGGGTTTGTACCTCCGACCACATTTGTGCCATACTCGATCGCTTGCTGGGCGTGAAAGGTTCCTTGCTTGCCGGTGAAGCCCTGGAACAGCACCTTGGTGTCCTTGGTGATGCGCAGGTTCAGGCCGGTCTTTGCATAGCCCGAAGGCTGGCCAGGAGCATCTTGCGCGGAGATGGTAGCGTAGCTGGCAGGCGCAACGGATTTGGTCAGGCCGGCCGGGGCATTTCGCAGGGCGCGCGTGAGAGGTTGGCGGATGGACTGCATGGTGGAGGTGATTTCGCGCCGTCGCAGCTCTGCGCAGCGTGGGAAGAGCAGGAGGGAGAGTGGAGGGTTGGCGGTGGTGGTGCTGTCTGTTGTTTTGCTGAAGCTCAGAGCTCCAATAGCCTTTCACCTCCGTCTCTACCCGACGGCTCCTGCCGCCAAGACCGCGCTAGTTGCACATTTGACGCGAAGCCAGTCGACTCCATCAATTGTTCTCGCGCACGTCACGCACCGACGCCTCACCTCACCTCCGTCAACACGACACCCAACATGGCGACGATGACGGAGACACAGACCGACGTGCGGCACAAACGACTGCCAGCTGCGATCAAAGCCAAACTGCCACCCGAGAACGAGCGATACGTGCGAGCATGCGCCGACATTGCCAACTACTTGGTCGAAGACTGGATCCGATCACAAGAGCCCAATGCAAAGAAGAAGGACCTCAACCTGAACACGCTGCGGGGGTCATTCTCCAAAAAGCACTACCTGTCACGGCAGCCGCCTCTCACAGACATCATCGCCGCCGTGCCCGAGCAGTACAAAAAGTACATCCTCCCCAAACTCATAGCCAAGCCGATCCGTAGTGCTTCAGGCATCGCCGTGGTCGCCGTCATGTGCAAGCCGCACCGATGTCCTCATATCGCATATACCGGTAACATCTGCGTGTATTGCCCCGGTGGCCCAGACTCCGATTTCGAGTACAGCACACAGTCATACACCGGCTACGAGCCGACGAGCATGCGCGCGATAAGAGCACGATACGATCCCTTTGAACAGGCCAGAGGGCGGGTAGATCAGATAAGAAATCTTGGACACAGCGTAGACAAGGTGGAGTACATCATCATGGGTGGCACGTTCATGTCGCTGTCGCCCAAGTACCGCGAGACCTTCATCTCGCAGCTACACAATGCTCTGTCTGGATATTCCACATCGCAGGTCGACGAGGCGGTGCTGGCAGGAGAGCAGAGTACGACAAAATGCGTAGGTATCACCATTGAGACCCGGCCAGATTACTGTCTGCCACCACATCTCTCCGACATGCTTCGCTACGGCTGCACGAGACTGGAAGTCGGCGTGCAAAGCTTGTACGAGGACGTTGCAAGAGACACAAATCGAGGGCACACTGTCAAAGCAGTCTGCGAGACATTCTGCCAATCTAAAGATGCTGGCTTCAAAGTCGTCTCACACATGATGCCCGATTTGCCCAACGTAGGTCTCGAACGCGATCTCTTTCAATTTCAAGAATACTTTTCCAACCCAGCTTTTCGAACAGACGGGCTGAAGATCTATCCTACACTTGTCATTCGCGGCACAGGTCTGTACGAGCTGTGGCGGACGGGTCGGTACAAGAACTATACGCCGAATGTGCTGATCGATATCGTGGCACGAATATTGGCTCTCATTCCACCATGGACGAGAATCTACCGCGTGCAACGAGACATTCCCATGCCACTTGTGACGTCGGGAGTGGAGAACGGCAACCTTCGCGAATTGGCGTTGGCCCGAATGAAGGACTTTGGGACCACATGTCGGGATGTGCGAACACGAGAGGTGGGAATTAACGAGGTCAAGCACAAGATTCGCCCAAATCAGGTCGAGCTCGTGCGAAGAGACTATGTTGCGAATGGTGGGTGGGAAACGTTTCTGGCATACGAAGACCCGAAGCAAGACATCTTGATCGCTCTGCTGCGGTTGCGAAAGTGCACAGAAAAGTACACCTTCCGAGAAGAGTTGACCGGGCAGCAGTCGAGTCTGGTTCGTGAATTGCACGTCTACGGCTCTGCTGTGCCAATCCACGAGAGAGTGAAGGGAAAGTCGCAGCATCAAGGTTATGGAACGCTCCTCATGCAGGAGGCTGAGCGCATTGCCAGGGATGAACATGGGAGCAAAAAGATTGCCATCATCTCTGGTGTTGGTGTCAGAGGATATTACAGAAGGCTTGGTTACTGGTTGGATGGCCCGTACATGAGCAAGTGGTTGGAGGAGGACGACGGTAGTGATGCAGAGTGAGGCCCAAGCTCCTTTGAGGCGCACAGCACACGGCACATCCTTCGGTCTGGAAGCGCGTCCGCTGTCAGCCTTGCCTTGGCAGTGGCTTAGAGCAGCCCAGCTCCTTCTCAGTCTTGCAGCTCGACTGATCGCTTGCTCAACTTACAACACGCATAAGCTACAGTCTAGGTCATGCCGAGGAGACGACGCCTACGTGCTGCCAAAGTCTGGGACTCTGCTCGCGTCTACAAGTTATTTCCTATTTCCCAAGGCTCGAATGTGGGCAGAGGTCAGACGCAATTACACATTCGCTTCCGATATCTGGATCCAGCGTCGCGTCTAGATGATCCGCTCTCTGGCAAATTCGATGCAGGCCCAGTGACCCCGGTGGCATCGTCAATTTGACGCTCTGTCTTATACCTGGCAGCCACCCTTTCGTGACCAAGTCCTCGAGCATGACTCCATTGAAGTGCAAAATGTCAAACTCCCTATCACTGGCAATTTGAGTAGAGCTTTGAGGCACCTGCGCCTTGGATACAACCGGAGTCACATTGTGTGGGTCGACGCCATCTGCATCAACCAACAGGATCCTAAAGAGCAGGCACAACAAGTACAGCACATGGCTGAGATCTACTCATCTGCTCACAATGTAATGGCGTGGATCGGTGAAGATTCATCCATACAGGATGGGCATCACATTTTTGAGCTTTGTCAGGCACTTGTGCGTGGACCGGAGCACCCGTGGGACGACACTCTCACACGGGACCACGCTGCTTTGTGGGAAGTGTTCGCGAGCAGAAGATACTTCACTCGGCTCTGGATCGTGCAGGAGCTAGTACACGCGAGTAACATCAAGTTCATTTGCGGCTCTGCCGAAATCAAATTTGCAACTCTGATAGATGGGATGCATCTGGCGCTTGTGCAAGGAACTTTCTGGTCTCGCGCACTACAATACACTGATCGCTCATCAACCGCGTTGCGATACCAGAATCCTTCTTCAGTCGTGTTGCAAGCCCTTCAGCTTGTGCGCAGTATAGACAACACACGCAGAGACCGGACAATCTCTGCGCTGTTTTCAAATCTCCCAAGAAGTTCCGAGCCCGATCAGAAAGAGCAGCTGAGCATATCTTGCACCGAATTCGGCGAAGTGTTGTATGAGCTTCGGCACCTTTCCTGTTCCGACGAGAGAGATCGTGTCTACGCGATGATGAGTCTTTGCAGTGAAACCAAGACGACGGTTCTCGTGGACTACACGATCGACTGCACGCAGGTATATTACAATCTTGCAAAGATCATCTACACAGATGATATGCTTCTCGTCGCTGCCAGCCAGCATGCCATGGGTGTAGCGCGAGATCCTGAATTGCCCTCGTGGATACCGGATTGGAGAGTGGAATCTCGCAAGCCACAACCCCAAGCCCAACTAGACTTGTTCAGAGAGCTGCCTCCACACTGTATCAGCTTTTTCTCCCTATATGCCCCAACAGCTAGAAGAAAAAACTAATGTCCGGGAAGTTTTATTCAATGATTCCGCAAAGCGCCTGGGCATTACCCTTCTCTGTTTCGGACGTGTGCTCATGCCAGATAGTACTAACGACCGGACCTATGTCTGGAATCTGAACGTGCAAGACTTTGAGCTTTACGGAAGTGTGAATGGACCACCTCGCCCAGCGGAGACTTTGCTGAAAGAAGGAGACTATATCTGTCGACATACGTACAAAGACATGCCTGGCGCAGAAGAAACTTGTTTCATGGTGCTCCGTGCTGTTGCCCGAGCTGAACACGATATCTTCGTGTTCAACACGCACACTATTCGCGCAGTACAGTGGGTAGGGTTGGTGCGTTGTGTTTCAGAAGAGGTGACGAACGCTCTAGACGCACGGAAATACCCAGGTACAAAGCGGCGGGAGTTCTGGATAGTGTAGCTCATGTTAGGCTACAAGCCTTCGCTTCTCAAGATGCCGACAGTGCTGTTGCGAATGTGTAAAGGAAGTCCAGCCATGAAGTATGCCTTCGCTTCATTTCATGTAATTAGATGATCAGAAGCCACTCGTCCATCATGATGTGGCGACGAAAGGAGCACAGCGCTTCACAAGTAAGCGCACATTGACCCGACTTTGCGCCCCTGCCTGTCTTCACTTGGTGTCTGAGGCAACAACTCCACACATTCACCTCAGCTACATCACAGGCATATTCAGCAGATAGACCAACATCTGCTCACATGTGCTCGCATTGGGCCGCAGCATTGAGCCGCAGCATTGAGCACAAAAAGGGCAGCACCAATCCACGCCCCAACAATCACGGCCGACAACACGACAACCACCTCCAGCCTAAGCTGAACTACAACAAAGACACTCGACCACCAGCTGCTGCAACAACCTTCAGTATGAAGGTCTCCCTGCTTGCTGCCATCCCGGCCATCGGCGCCGCTTTGGCTGCACCAGCAGTCACGGGCGACTCCGAAGCAGTGTCCGTTCGAGTTCACAGCTCTGACGGAACTGAAAGCACCCACTCGGTCACCCTCGGCGAGTATGTGCAGGTCGAGGGCAAAGACATTGACCGCATCGACCTCACCTCTTCCGCCAGCTGCACTGTACGTTCGAATTCTACTTCTTCCTACTCACTACTCACTAACATCGCTCACCAGGACGGTTCTCTCACCTGCCAACCAATTTGGTACTTCTCTTCCAGTGGTCCTATCGTTGGACTGGACTTCACCCCTTCTAAGCCCGGTTACCCTCGCTCGACCTTTGGCAATGGCGAAGTCAACTCCGTCGGGGTGACTTGCAGCTGCTCGTCGTTGCTGCTTTCTGCTCGTGACAACACAACCTCATCGCTCTTGATCAAGATTACCAATGTCGACGGAACTATCAAATCTGGCCCTTTGATCCTCGACGAGTACAAGGAGTTCTCTAGCAGAGACATCGCGGAGGTCTCCATTGGTGGCTGGTCTCCAGTAGGTTGCCATGACTGCATTTCCCTCTGCCTTAGCTGACGATCTTTGTCTAGGGTCTCAATTTGCTCGACGTCCACTGCCAACCCACCTGGAACTTCACCGACAGTGGACCAATCGTTGGTCTTGACTTCGCTGGAAATGAGGTCGGTACTCCTAACAGAGTGTTCGGCAACGGCAGAGTCGACACTGTCGGTCTTCGCTGCAGCTCTTCCCCATCGCTTATGGCTCGCGAAGACAAGGATGGGTATATCACAATCGATGTTCTCGGCGGTCACGGTGTCAAGAGAGTCGACTGGATTGTTGCTGGCCAGGTTCGGGAGTACAATGCTATCGCTTTTAAGGATACACTTGACAGCGTCCAGATCGATTCAACAGATCCGGTATGACGACTCTCACCCCGTTCCCGCCCGTACCGTACTGACACTCTCCGTAGGACTCCGAGGGTGTAACCTGTCAGCCAACTTGGTACTTCAGCGATACTGGCCCGGTCGTGGGTCCTACTATTACTCCGTCCGAGCCTGGCTCTCCTGCCCAGACTTTCGGCAATGGCCACTGTACAAAAGTCTCCATCAAATGCAGCCGCTCACCACAACTTCTTGCTCGCGCCGACGACTCAAAGCCGTCAGTAGACATCGTGTTTCGAGAGAGCGATGGCAAGTCCGGCTCTGTCACTGCGCCAGTGGGTGTCGGTGCGGGCGTGAACGCAACTGGCAAGGACATAATCACGCTCGAACTTGGTACAGGGCATGGCGTAAGTTCGAACTTCGTCCCCGTTCTCATTCTCGAGCTCTCCTGACATCATTCACAGGTCCAGTCTAGCAAAGTCGTCTGTCTCCCAGTCTGGATTTTCGACACTGGCGCAAGCCAAGCCGGATCTCCGATGAAGAAGGACCGCGCTGCATTTTTGAGCGACACCAAGAACGGCTATGCCATTATGACCAAAGACCGTCCAAAGGTGACTCGAGTTGAAGTATTCTGCGACGTCTCGGCAATGAAGCCTCGCGATGCCACTCCTACCCTCGACATTACGGCGCACGAGTCCAAAGGCAAGAACAGCACTGCTTCCATCCATGTCGGACAAGCCGCAGATCTCCGCGGAAAGAACATTACGAGCATTGAGATCAAGGGCGCTGATGCGGTAAGTGATTTTCATTGCTCAAAATCATGAGGGCTGCTTGTACTGACACTCCTTCTAGTCGATCGACGTTGAGAAGATCAACTGCCAGCCAATTTGGTACATCAACCGCGGCAGTGGCCAGCTTGGCTACACTTTCAACTCCACGAACCCAGGTAACCCAGGCTACTTCCTTCACGGTAGCGATGCAGTGACTCGAGTTGCTGTGACTTGTGCTTAGAGGGCGATCAGTGCGGACAGGTGGCTGTGAACAGAGGCTTTCCACATAAGGAATCCACAAAGGATCAGGCGTACAAGCTTGTCTTTCTACACCTTCACCAGAGATCTTAGAAGCAAAAGTTCTTAGAAGTAGTTTTGCTGAGCTACACTCAGAGGCGAGCTTTTGAGATACTTGCGCAATCTCAGATCAAGCCTCAATCATCACTCCGACGGCTTCTTCACATCATGACACAAATGAAATACCAGCAAATAAATCCACAATCCCTCACAGGCCCCAACTTCCCCTCTCTCTCTCGCCACCACCAACTCCCACATCCGTCTGCTCATGTCCGTACCGATTCTGATCTCACCTCCTCAGTAATACCCCCTCCTCCTCTCCTCCTTCCTGCTCCGCCGATACTCATTCCCCACATAAACCGCCGCACCCACAGCCGCAACGCCAATCGCCGCCTTCTTTCCCAATCCCATCTCAGGTGGGTCCTTCTTGCTCGATTTCACGCACAAGCCCATCAGACAAAGCGGACCACGAGAACGAGCACCACAACAAGTCCAGCGCTTTTTGCCGTCGTAGGAGTTGAAAGATTTGTGGGGCATTATCGTTGATGATGTTGACCAGGATCTTGGGAGTATTCGTTTGATTTGGCTTGGCAGAGAGTTGGAGGATGCTTCGTGGAATAGTGTCGTTGCTGGTTTGATCGATTGGGTACTCGTCGAGTGTGCTCTTCTTGGTAGTCTGGTTTGGAGTGTGCACATCCACAGTCCTCTAGGATGGAACTTATACTTCAGAACGGCTTGCGCTGGCAACAACATGGAAGAAGTGCTGCATCAAGCTTGCGTTCGTGAACGATGCGAATGAGTGTACGCACAGTACCTTGGATATTGCGAAAGGCCTAGATTATGAGGACCAATACCACGATGCCGCCAGCTTCCCGTTTGCCCAGCGTATTCACAGCTGCGGGAACACTGGCAAGCCGCGACCTTCATCGTCTTTCGCAAGGTGTTGTCAGCTTTACGTGATATCGAAGAGCATAATGCATTCAATGAAGCTTCAATCTCATTCGGCCGCTACAGCGCACGATCTGTCGGGTATAGTGCTAATATCAAGTCATCCTCCCAAAAGTCCCCGTCGTTTACGCGACATATCCAAAATGTGGTCCTGGCCAGCCTTCAGCTTCGTGCCTTACGTGAGCGCGCTATGTCTGCCTCCGCTGCTTGTTGCTGGGCACGTGTCATATGAGTGCCTACTTGAAAAGCCCATGCACGAATCCACAGATCAGCATAGGAATGACCGCAATGAACCAGAAGATCCAAACCAATCCAACAGCCAAATAGACACGGAACATCGCTGCCCATGTGCCGTAGTAGCCAACGTTTTGTAGCTGATCTCTGGACTCACGCAACGCCTCCGTGAGCCGCATCGCGACTTGGTTGTTGATCTTATCCCACGTAGTGTTCAAGGCTTGCTCGCGAGCGTTGCCGATCATCTCTTCGCGAAGTGCGTGATTGGTCCCAAGCTCGTAGGCATAGTCGACGAATGTGTCGAGATCTTGCGGTGGCACAAGGTAGCCGGATCGTCCATGCTTGACAGTCTCGCTGGGGCCACCTTCATCGCGAGCAACGACTGGCACGCCAGAGGCCATGGACTCCAGTACCACAAGACCAAATGTTTCGGTAATGGAGCAGTGCAGGAACACGTCAGCCGCAGCGTATGCTTTGGCGAGCTCGACGCCACGGAGCATGCCGGTGAAGACCACCTGATCTTGCATTTCTTTGAAATAGCTTTGGACCTGGAGTAGCTGTTAGCGAAACACATCTGTCGTACGCGAGATGACCACTCACCTCGTTCATAACTGCTGGATTCTTGTTGCCGCCCACAATGAGCAGCTTGAATTTGAGGCCAGTCTCCTTCAGCTTCATGGCAGCTTGTGCGAGAAATTCAAATCCCTTTTCCGGCGCAATGCGCGAGATGCAGCAGAAGATGATCTCTCCATCTGGAGCTATAGATCGTCTGTACTCGTCATCGCGCTTGCTTGGATTGAAAAGTTGCGTGTCAACGCCACGCCCAAGCTGGATCATCTTCTCTGATGGAGCGCCAGTGCCTTCCATGTATTTGCGCACATATGCCGAGGGATAGAAGATGGTGTGCACGCAAGCAGCGCGGAACAGAAAACCTTGCACAACATGCAACAGCCAAGCGCCATAGCGATCAAGAGGGGACGCAAACAGAATTCCAGCATACGCAGCGAGGTCAGTCTGGAAATTGAGCAGCGTCGGGGGAGCGTTGTCGAGTTGCCGTAGTTGCACCAGGAACTGGAAACCGACTGAAGCGGGACTCGCCAGGTAGATGATATCGGGCTTGAAGGTGTTGTCATACACCTTTCCGAGACGGAATGGGTAGGCCACTGTGAGGTCGGGGTTGTATGGCAGAGGCGTGCCTTGGAGGCGGAATTCGGGATTTGCTCTCTCCCTACGAGCCTGCTGGATTTTGCGTCGAGCGTCCTCGCTCCTCTGACGATTCAGCATGGGTGGCTTCTGCTGGGTCTGGAGCAGCGGCTGGGTCTCCCTTTCGGGATCATCACGATCGAAGTGCCAGGACCACGCTCCACCAATCGCTCTCGAGCCTAGCGAGGCTGCCTTTGCTTCAATCGATCTCGTCCAATCTTTGTTGACGATGGGTAGCCTTTCCGGCTTCGAGTCGGCTGTGATGGGCTGGCCTTTGTAGTAGGGGGCGCAGGTCGCGACATGGACGCCATGATTTCGGAGATAGTCCACGAGACTCTGCGTGGTCCTCGAGACGCCGTTGACGGGTCCGAGTGATTCGGTGGCGAGCAGTACTTTCTTCCCAACCAGCTCAGCTGGAAACTCTGATTTGCCTGCTGATGCAACAGAGATCAGACTGTCGTGGCGAGACAGCGGCTGTGACTCCGGATCTGACATGTTTGGTATTGTCGTGTTGAGGGTCGCTGTATTCACCACATGCTTGTCTCGTGCTCGTGATGTGATGCGTTTGGTCGCTGGAGTGGCGGAGGTGAATTTGACTGCGGAGAAGTCGTTCTGTTGCGAAAGATGTGAGTGATGAAGCGGGAGCAGTCGCAGCAGTCACGACAGGCACGAGCGAGGCTGATATGAGGAGCACGAGGGCGCTCGTCACCGCGGTGGGCGACATGGCTTGAGCAGAGGGCGGCGAGGGGTATCCATTCCCGTCGCTGCACGTCTGGCGCTGGTTCGGAGAGTCTGCGGGAAGGCTGTGGCAGCAGAATGGGCGCACGAGGTCGACAGCAGCTCTCTTTGTCGGTCGTCTTTGTTGCTGCCGTCGACCGTTCTGCGGAGTGGGAGAAGGCACGACCTCGGACGCGCGTCGCTGATTGGTTGGCCGCGCTGACGATGAGCATAACACCACCAACCTGACTTCCACCATGTACACTCCTCTCTCTGGACAACATGACCGCTTCCGTCGCGCCAACCGCATCACCATCTGCAAGACATCACCGCCATCCGCGCAGATCAGCCGCGGTTGATCACGATGCCGCCCGAGGTCGTCACCGTCCGCAGTCTCTGCATTCCACGCGACAATGAGCTGGCCGGCGAGGAGCAACGCTGAAGGCCGAGACGAGAACGTGGTCGGCCTCCGACGGTACCCTTGCTGCAGTACTTTGATGCGTCGTCCCTTCGCTCTCACGTAGAAGAGCCATATCCGCGAATTGCAACCTCCATCTACACTGGCTTCACGTCACAACCGGCCCACTGTGCACGGCGACAGGAGGGCACAGTAGGTAACTGAACCAGGCTCAGCCGTTGCTCAGCGCTCGCCGACTCATGGTGAGATGCTGCTGTTGTCGCTGATTTGCCGTCAATAGACGTCTCAAAAGTGCTATTGAGAAAAGTCTATTGACGACCACTTCCAGCGACGCTGCCAAGACATATGGCTTCAAAGAACTCCAACAACGTCAAACAACACCTACTGCGGCCGCCGAAGCGCACGTCGCGAGGTGTCACTAGATCGTACAATCTGTCTTCGAATCTGCTACCCCTCCACCATGTGCCACGCCATCACGATATGCTCGCTTTCACCGACCTCATCTCGCCAATACTCACCTCTTCAATAGCCAGGCTGCGGCCCACCTCTATTGAGGATACCCTTCTGTTGCTATTCATCCTCATTGAAACTCTGCTATTGATATTTCTGCTATTGAGCTTCTCTGGTGCCTTCGTTGACAGCTTCAGACATCTTCGTCGACTCTCATTCTTCAGCTGTCTGCTTGCTTTCTCAATCATCACCGTCATTGCTGCCATCAACTACAGAGATCTATCGCTTCGCATCGACGACGAGCCACCACCACTCGACCTCAACACACCTGCCACGACTCCTCCACAGCCAGGTCAAGCGAACATCAACCCGACTGGTCTCTTCATCGACTGAGCAAAGCTGTGCCAAGCCAGACATCCTCAAGATGAGCGCGCCACCTGCACCACCGCCTCTTGACAGCGGCAACCTCATCCACTCCCGAGCAATCGTCTTCAGCGCCTTCTCCCTCCTGATCGCTCTCCTCATCTGCCCGCCGCTCACCTGGCACTTCAAGAACCGCAACATCGGGGCAACAGTCCTCGTTGCATGCGCTCTTTACGCCAATCTTCAATCATTTGTCAACGCCATCATCTGGTCCCACGACGATGTGAGCTCCTGGTACACCGGCGAAGGCCTTTGCGACGTCGAAGTCAAGCTGCAAGTCGTTCTCCAAAATGCACTGCCTGCCGCCATCAGTTGCATCTTGAGGGCTTTGGCCAAAGTCATGGACACGGAGAGATCGTCATGGGGCACCACCAGAGCTCAGAGACGCAGAGGGTATGCAGTCGACTTGCTCTGCTGCGTTGGCATTCCACTCTTGCAAATGCCGTTTCACTGGATCGTGCAGCCCTTCCGCTACTACGTCTTTGGCATCACTGGCTGCTACGCCTCCCTTTCCATCAGCTGGCCTATGGTCGTGCTCATTCTATTGCCACCACTCCTCTGGACTCTGCTGGACGTGTACTACAGTGGTAAGCATCGATTGCCAATTCTTTCTTTAGCGACTTCGACTGACAATCCCCACAGTGCTCATCCTGTACCGACTGATGAAGTACCGCTTGCAGTTCCGGTCCATCCTCGCCAACAATCAAACCACGCGATCTCGGTTCTTCAGACTCTACGCCCTCTGTGCACTCTGCACGCTGGCCTACTTTCCGCTGCATGTCTATACCTTCTACGCCACCATCGGCAACGACGGCCTCGGTCCGTTCAGCTGGAATGAAGTTCACCACCCAACTGCTTACAGCTGGGATGCGGTAGTCATGGTACCAAGCGATGGCAACATCTTGTGGGATCGATACATCTGGCTCGCTGGAGGCATTGTCATCTTCATGATTTTCGGCTTTGGCAAAGACGCCGTACGCATGTATCGCGATGTCCTCTTGGCCTGTGGCTTTGGCAAGATCTGGCCAAGCCTCAAGGAGGGCAGTCCACGAGCCAGTCTTGCTACCACCATGAGCTCAGTCAGCAGCAAAGCCCGCATGTTCTTCAGCAAGAACCGCAAAGACAGCATGTCGACCAGTCCGACTACGCTCGGCAGCTTCGACAGCGCAACCAAATCTGTCACTGACAGCGAGCCCAGTCCGAAGAAGATGTCTTTTCTCGAGACTGTCAACGAAGGCAGAGGAAGCAACCAGCAGAATCAACACACTGCGGCAACTTCATCACCATCAAAACAGAAGCCCTGGAACAGACTCACAGCCCACTTCAAGAAAGATCAATCACCAGCAATGCGGTCGAACAGCAACGACCACTTCGTCCTTTCGCAGATCTCCACACAGCAAAATGTGCATTCCAACGTTACAGCTGAGCCTGTCTCGCCTACCATGGCATCTCACATTCGCTCGCAGAGCCGCGGCGACGGAGATGTTCTGATCAGAAAGGAGGTCAGACAAAACAGCGAGATTGCCGGGTCGGTGGGCGTGAAGGACTTTGGTGGCGCTTGATGGTGAAGGGCAGACCGAAAGCTGTAATGAGCAGAGCAGCGAGCCATGGCGTCTTTTTCTTGTACAAGCGCTGAGGTAGAGTCTGACCTGTCGATGAGCATTCTTATCGTTCGTATACATATTGCGAAGCAAGGCATCGTTTTCATATCTTCTTGAGCACTGCACCGAAACCATTCGTTCCGACCAGCATTTTCCAATGTCGTCTAGTAGTTCATGGTCTTCTCGCCAGCGCAGTGGCTGCACGGCCGAAGTATGCTAAGCGCGCGGCGAGCGAGGTCCTGCTCTTGCACTTTCACACATCTGTGTTTCGCTGTGTCACTTGGGTACTGATCGACGGCGCGTCCCGCTGAAATTGAAGCTCAGTTGCTCAGTTACACTGCCATTGCGGCACTGTTCTCAAGAAAGTGTGAGTCATGCGGAGGATTCGGGCGAGTGCCATCGATTTGACCGCACCATCCACAGAGCACATGATGAGCAGCATCAGGGAGCCAGAGCTATCCACTCCACAACTGTCTTCCATCTCAACGATCGCAACAGTGCTAACACTGCCACTACACTCGACGGAACGGTCTTTTAGTGCATTAATCAGATAGAGTCATGCGTTTTGATGAGCCAGACTGGATTGCCGCTGATCCTAGCATACACAATGTCTTCGACACACTCGTCTCGTTCCTCAACAAGTCGTCCTCGGATCCTGGGAATTTGAAGGAGTATATCGCCGATACGACTGCGAATTTGACCTCGGCAGGAACTCAAGATCCCTCTTTGAAGCAGTACAGAACCGAATCCCGGTATCTCTTCGCCGTCCTCCTCAGCCTCGTTCAACAGCTCGATGCCAACTCTCCAGAGGAAGACCATTTGGTACGCCTAGTGCTGGCACTGCGAGATGTGCCGCTGCCATCATCTGTCAGTCAACAAATGGATCCACGCGCTCTGGAGAATGATAACATGAATCGAAAACTGAGCAACTTCATCAACGTGTGGGCGGCTATTGGTCGCGATGCACCTCTCCATCCACGACTCAAAGATCGTCCCGAACATCTTGAACTCCATTCGCATCGACTGCCGTGGCGACAAGAGCCTGGCCAATATCTTTCCTCTGCTTCGTGGACAAGTATGAATGCATTTCTGGCAAGACTCCATGTCGCGGCCCCAGATGTGCCGACGCTAGACTTCAGGGCCTTGCTCGCCATGATGGAAGCTCTCGAGCAACCATTAACGCCAGCAGAACTTGAGGATGCACTACCTCCTGCCGCCTATTGGGTCATATACGCTGGAGTCAACCTCGAACACAATGACATTCCGTATGCATCTTATGGCAATAATCCAGGACATAACAGATCAGTCTGGAGCAAAGGTGTTTTGTGGGACGGCCAGCACGCTTTCAAACCGGCGAGGTGGGAATTTTGGCTGCAGCGATTCAAGGCTATTTCGGAGAGGCCTGAAAATACTGAAGAGGTGCGAGACTTGGCTCGGCGTGCTTTCGAGGTTGGACCTTCTCTAGATTGAACGGTCTTGTTGCTGCTCAGATCCCATGCGCGTTCTACTGTCTACAAGCTATCAGCCAAATCGATATTCCACAAATCTGTCGAGCGGCTGAGAATCGCGTTTGCTTTGCGATCGACCCCCAGGACTTGCAGCGTTGAGCAAGTAGTCACATCACGCCGTTCGCGATCAATTTCACAACCTCTCCCTCATGTATGTGCCAATGTCCTTCAGACACTCATCGGTCCGCTCTGTACCGCCGACAGGGAAGAATGAGAAACCATGTGGCGCGCCAGGATAAATCTTCAAAATGCTCTCCGCGCCGCTCATGGCCCATTTCGTAGACATCATGACGCTGTCATCCAGAAGCAAGTCGGAAGTTCCGCAAGTGAAGAGAGCAGATGGAAGCTGTACGCTCGAATGAGTAGGAGTCGAAACGAAGGTGGCCACCATGTACCAACCTTGTACTCGTTCAACTTGGCATAAAGAGGACTAATCGAAGGGTCCCTTCGATCGTCTTTGGATTTGCCAGGTAGGTACGCCTCGAAGTATCTAGCAAAGACGAGTCAGCATAGTCAATCCCCAACCACGACAAAAGAAAAAGGGAGACCTATGAACTTAAGCATAATATCATAGTCCAAAACCAACGGTAGATCAAAATGCCGGATCTGCGGCATACTCTCCGTCAAATCGTAACACCCAAAGTTCAGCACCAGTCCCTTGAACCCCTTCCACTCTTTCCTCGTCTTCAGCAACTTCATCGCGGTCAGAACACTCAAATGCGCGCCCGCGCTATCTCCACCCATGAACTTCAACTCCGCTCCGAATTTCTCTTCCGCGTGATCAATCAAATACTCTCCGATATCAAAACAGTCCTCATTTCCTGCCGGATAAGGATGTTCCGGCGCGAGTCGATACCCAACAGACACAACCACCAGATCCGCCTCATCGGAATACCGCTTCAGCATGAGATCTTGAAATTGCTCGCTCTGCAATACCCATCCTCCACCATGAATATGGTAGAACACGCCATTAGGTTTCTTGCCCTCGGCAGGTCTGAATACGCGACATGAAATATTCCGGCCAGCGTCTCGAGAAGGTAATTCGATGTTTTCGCCTTCCGGTAGGACAGTCGGTCTCGGCATTGGAGTTTCACCATTCCAGCGCATTTGACGATATTTTTCGGCTCCAACTTCGTACCACTTGGGACCTGCGTTTCCAATTTTCATGAGGTTGGCATTGTAGTCGTGTGTTTGTTGGCTGATAGCCGAGGGATGGAATTTGGATTGATCGAGCTTGAGATCGGATTCGAGAGGCATCTTGGGCGAATCCGGTGTTTTGAGTGAATGATGAGAAGATCTGGTCTAATTCAATGTAAGAGTGGAGGGCGTTTCTATAACGTATCAGTAAACTCGAAAGAACTCGAAATGGAAGTCATCGTGATGAGATGAAGTCAAGGTGGGGATGCTTGGTCCGAGGTTCGGAGCACAGCCGACTGCTATTCTGTGAGCTCCTCTAACTCAATGCTACTGGGTGAGTGGTCTCATAATGATTGTCTCTCTGGTAGCCTATATTTGCAAGCTTGCTTAGTCGTCGTCGCTGTCGCTTCCATAGCCCACCAGAGGCCCGGCAGGCTTGTCCGGCGCTTTGCTTGCGCCGTCGCCACCTGCTCTGAGCCCTTGCAGCGCTGCAAGTGTGCTTCCTCCGAGTAGACCACCGCTCGAGACTTGCTGCGCGTTACCACCAGTGATCTGTAATGGTGCATCGTCCTCGTCATCATCTTCTGCAGGAGCTGCCTCAATCTGCTTTCGCTCTTCTCCAGATTCGATGCGCGCCTTTTCACTCGCATACCAGACGTGATCGGGAGCATCGTAGCCTTGCAATCCGAATGTACCTTCAATTTTTCTCCTCTTCCTCTCCTCTTCTCCATCTGCACCTTCATATTTACGTCCCTCAAGTTCTGCAACGTAGCTGGCAGGCAGCGCTCGTCGAATTGCCTCAGCAGCTTGTTCCTCAATCCTCGCCGCCTCTCTCTTCTGTGCCACAGGGTTCGGATCCACCGTCGCCCACCTCACATTCAGGGTCTCGTTATGATCCAGACTTTGGTGCGCCATGGCCTCTTTCGCGAATTCCGAATTTGCAAGATGCACATATGTCACAAAGGCGACACCTCGTGAAGGCAGCACTCTTATCCTCTCGACCTGTCCCCACTCTTGGAAATGCCGCGCCACGATCTCCTCAATATCATCAGAGACATGTATCCGCCCCACGTACAGCGTCCTGTTGATTCGCATGAAAGAGCCCACGCCACCCATGTCATCTCTGTAATCGCTGAATTTGTCTCGTCCGAAGCAGTCCACGTTGCTGGGAAAGATGTCGCCTAGCCCTCCACCTGGACCATCCTTGCCTACTCTGCTGTTGGGCAGCCTGTGCAGGTATTCGCAATCCTGACCCTTGGGGCATAGTCCGCGCGCGAAGAAGAGGCAAAAGTAGGAGCCCGGCACTTTGTCCGCTCGTGTGTATCCAGAATCCAGCGCGACATTGCATCGTCCCTTTGCCTGTTGCTTTGAGGAGAGCGCATCCTCACGATCGCCGCCTGACCATTTATTGTACCAGATGTTGAATATCGTGCCAGTCTGAGGGGGAGGCTCGGTTTTGAAAGTCGAGGGATCTTGCTGAGGTCGTGCTGGCCGCCTCTTGCGCTTGATGATCTTGGTCCTCTTCACTTTCTGCGTGACAGTGCCATCGCTGTTGGTTGTCGTGACCGCGGTCGACGTCTCGGCGGCGGGCGCGGTGGTATCCTCGAATAGCGGCACGGTGGAATTTTTGGCGAGGTCAGTCATGGTGGTCGTCGTTGTCGTTGTGCAGAGATGATGAGTTCGCAAGAGATGGGACGCGACCGAGAGACAACTTTTAGCACACGCGAGTCAGGCGGCGGAACTTGGTCTTGGCTTCCGCGGACTTCACATTCACAACCACCGCACTTTCTACCTTACAAGTATCGTCGCCGAAAGGGAAGGAAGAGTCGGCGCGAGTGAGCGATTCCGAATGCTTTAAGCGCATAGTTATAGAACCTCGGTCACCTAAGTAGATCTGATGCCAAGACTTTCGATAGGGAACGCCACCAGGAAGTAAGTTTTGGCTTTCTCCTTCGACGCTCCATCCCTATGCGCAGTCACGCACCGACGCATGTTCCACACTCCAGTCTCTGCAGTGTAGCAGCTTCTACGCAGTGGCAAAATTCCACCTGCCGAAATCTACATCACAAGCCACATCGCGACTGGGCCGGGCGGCGAACAGAATCAAGTCGGAAAGATAAGTGATCGAAGATCGTAGAGTTGCTGTATCAGCGATATGTCGTGCGTCCATTTCTTCCTCAGCTTATGAATTCTGATATAATTGGCACATATGAAACAATTCAGATTATAGAACTACAGAAAATGGGGCGCGCGAAGTGAAGTAGTGAAGCTACCTAAGCCCAAACGCCATGACAAAAGTGAAACAGATCCCTTAATCAGGAAGGTTGAAGCAGATTGTACCTGCCAGTTGCCTTTTCAGTGCTTGGGGCAGACGCATTGGCACGTTATGAGCTCAATCTTTGGGTCGTTGAGTACTTCGATGCTTGGGTTGCTCATGCCTCCCGCCGCAGCGTTGCCAGTACTTCCACCTACTGGACATGTTAGTGTTTCTGCAACCCGACAGATAGCGCACTCTCTCATCTTCTTACCTCTGTTGCCACCGCCCGAGCCGCCCCCAACGGAACCACCACCCCCTATAGCGCTTCCACCCGCAGCTCCTCCGAGTTTGCC